AACTATGGCAAATGGCTTCGTGTTGACGCACTCATGATTCACGGATTAAATTCGACCCCCCCCCCCCCCCATAGATCTGAGTCTGCCAGCAAAGCTTGGCTTGGCACTGTGTATTCTGCCACTGCTTCTTATTCTTAACATCTGGCCGATGGCATGTGGATGGTTCCAGGCCCAAAGGGCGAAGCAGGTTGCACGGTGATGCCGGGTGCAGATTATGTAAGGGAGGGCAGTACATGATTTGTTTATCTTTTGTTTTGTTCCAGCTTATGCGGCTTTTCGTGGCGTTTGCGTTGCGGCTTTTTGAACCCACCCCACATCAACCCTGAACCAACTTCGGAACCAAATTCAAACTATCCCCAAGCCCCCCAAACCAGCCTTAAGACCCTAGCCTAACCCTAACCACCTTTTAGACTCCTCAACCAAAGCCTACCCTAACCCCACACACCCCTTGGGTCATCCCTGAACCCACCCCACACCAGCCTGAGACAATTCCTCAACCCACCCAAAACCCATCCCCACAGCACCCTGAATAACCCGCCCTTCAAACCACCCCGAATCCAGACCCTAAACACAACCCGCAGCCAACTTTCTGGAACATGCAACATACTGCATGTTGCCGTCCAGGAGGAAAGCCAAGGAGAAAGTAAACAAAAGGGCAAACACGACAAAAATCCCGACCTTAAGATCTTATTCAAGGTGCCCTATTTTTTTATCCCGCGCTTGGGTGTTGGGTGACCTCACGTGCTCGTCAGCTTGTACACGTCGCCGAAGCTTGATGCAGGTGAGCGAACGTGTTTCCTTTTTGCTCCAGCCGCGCAGGTCTACGCGTGGCGAAGCTACCAGAAGCAAGCAGCCTGATGATGAATTCCGGCACATGGAGCGTCTATTTGACTGGCTTTGCGAAGGAACATGATGGGAAGGGCCACACCAAATTGGAGCCCATTTGGAGATCGGATCCAAAATTAGTCGCTAGAAGCACCTCGATTTTCTTGGGGGGGGGGTCGGAAAGGACTCCGCGCTGTCGGTCCCATCGGCTTCCAGCTCAGCGTCCCATTCGGGTTTCTGCATTTTCGCCGAGCGCCTCGAGGCCCGAGGCCCGAGGCCCGAGCTATGCGAGCGTTGTCCGGCCTGCGAATTGGCACGCCTAGCGCCGTCGTTGCGCCCAGCAGGTGTCAAGCCTTTTCTGGGACACCAGGGGCAAGCTAGATTCGATTTCCGCGTTCGCGCCTGTCACTGGGTGAACAGCTTGACACTGGCGAATTCTGGGAGCGCCACATAGATTTCTCGTGTCACCTTGGTGCTTGTCACGCATGAGTTGTTGCTTACTGTGCCCTGCCCTTACTTTTGTGGCTGACCGCGTTGTGGGATGACGCGGCCTGGCTTCAGCGATTCCATATCCATGAATCTCCGGCATTGCAAGACAGGGGGCAGCTCACTTTAGGGGCTCGGCACAAGCTTCTGGCATGAGTTCCGCGACCGCCCAATGCAGGGCTAATCATCAGCCACTCCCGGTTCTCAGAACCCTCCTAAGAACCCCTTCTGAGAAGGTTTTAGGAATGTTTCCTGGCTTCAGAGGGGTCTTTGATTCCCTACGCTGGGCCTGTAGAATTTGAGGGTGGAGCCAGCAGAGCCTCCGCTTCGCTCACGCGTTCGCTGGGCAGGCCTTTATTTGATCCGATTTTGTGGGGACCCCTTTACTTGGGGATCCAAGTTTTATTTCAGGCTTTGGAATGATCATTTGCAGGTCTGATGGCCCCCCAGCTTTGTGCCCAGTCCGCTGGCTGAAGGGGTTGGAATCCGGAGATGAGTATGGCAAGAGAGAGAGGGACAGAAAGAAACAAAGAACAAAACCATGCGCTGCCTGGCTCGCTTTGTCGCTTGTTGCTGGACACATGTTTGCCTGCAAGCGGCCATAATTTTGATGATAGTCCTTCAACAGACCCTGAGATCTGACTTCGCCCGCTGGCGGCACTCGCCGGAGCTTCAAATTCAAAAGCTAGTTGAGCCAAGCTGTAAAGTGATGACAGAGGCCAGCGCTTTTATCCTTGGATCGCAGTTTATCAGTACGCGACACAGTGCAAGTATTTGAGTGGCCTTGTCAGTGTCTGAGTGGGTACCGATCGATCCCGGTCCATTGCTTCAGAGCCAAACGGCGGAACTTCACCGCAGGCCCTTTTGCCTCAGAAAAATGCAACAGGCTGAAGGGCTCAACCCGGACATCAACAAAAAGGCACGCATCGGGAACTCACGAAGACAAGGCGTCGCCTTATGTTGTTCTTCTGGTCTTCGCCTTTTGTTCCGGCCCGGCGCTGTGTTGCAGCAGTGCCCGGCACGTTGGCGTTGACAATTGCCACACAAATCCCAAAGCATAATGGCACTTAGGATACCATCTGGGTTTGTGCTTTGACGTTAGCCTTGCCACTTTGGTCTTGAAAATTGAAACAAAAGGGACAGCCACCATTCTGGGCATGTTACTCATTGATCGCCCTGGGCGCCGTCTGGCGATTTTTCCTCCCGCTCGCGCGCTTTTTTCCCCGCTGATGGCGTGCGCCGTGCCGCGGGTGGACCGCGGCGGGTACAAGCTGCACCTGGACTGCCCGGTGGACGCCCAGTTCGTCCAAAAGCTGCGGTCCATCCAACGGCAGCTGGAGAGCGCCCTGGACAAGGCCCCAGCAGATGCTTTGTCGAGCCGACTTGGCTCCTTGGTTTCATCCGTAAGGTTGGATGTTTTTCCTGCTTAGGTAGGAATGGTTAGACATGGATCAACACAACCAGCCAGGGTTGTAGATTGAGCTACAATCGCAGGTTGCAGCCGCCAACCAGTATGATTGCAAGCATACGAAGGCAGTAGCTTGTGACCATGGTTGTAGCTCAACCAAACCATGTCCCACTCGCAACCATGTTTATCTCCTACTTGGAACTTTGGACACCCAAGCACGACCGTTCCGATGTCCATCGGGAGACTTGGCCAAAACATTTGGGCAGCATGTCGGCATGTCGTTTTTCGTTGAGCGTGACGCGCATCCGCTGCCAGGGCTTGCCTGTGAAGCCCCAGACAGAAATGGTCCAGAGCGATTCTGAGGACGGCAAAGACCTTGGGAGAGATTGAGAGCTCTGCTTGACTCAAAGAACCTTGATCCCGTGGAATCAGTATTCCTTTTGATGGGATGAGGAACCCAGGTTGTAATTCTTTGTCGCCCACGTCCAATCTATGTTTGCGTGTTCTGTAAGTCAGGGTCTTCCATCCTTCGCTCCTCAACCCCCGTCTAACCTTCGTTTCGTCTCGGCTCCCTCTTGTTTTGAAGTCAAAGGGTTGGCTATCGTCAGGAAGTTGGGTTTTTGAATGCTTCTGCTCGGGCAAAAGCAATTCCTTTCTCCGACGGCATAGAGCATTGAGGTGCGGCAGGCGGATGTTTGAAGGAATTGCTAGGAGCCCTTGGTGCAGAGGTGGTCCACCTTCGGCTCGATGTTCTCCAGCGTTTTGGCAGCGTGGCTCTGAGCCGATTAAAAAACAGAAACAAACAGTAGCTAAAACTGGCTGACTGGGTTTCGTTTGGTTTCCTTTCGTTGCCCAAAATTTCACCCGGGGTGGCTGCCGGCTGACGGCGGACGAAGCGAGGACGAGGAGGTGAAGGAGCTGCAGGAGCGCACGGAGCGGCTGCTGTCGCGGCTGCCCATGGGCAACCGCATCCACAAAGTGCTGGAGGCAAAGAATTTTGGGACCTCCGTCCGTTTCAACCTCCTGCCATCTCAAAATGCCCGTTTTGTTCTGGTTCTTAGCTTTTTTTCTTTCTTGGAACCCTCGACAGCAATGGAGTCTTGGCCAATCCTGGGTTTGGGGGTTCAAAGGGAGGTTCCAGGGAGGTTGCGATGTGTGTGTGTGTGTGTGCAGTTTATCTGGAACGCATCCAATATGGAAGCTTTGGTTTTCGCTGATTTTTGGGTTCCACTGATTTCCTTCCTTTGCCACCGGGTTCCTTCTTGCAACACGCTGGTCTTCCTGTTCTCTTTGTCGGACACCATTTTTCGAGGCCACTGCGGCGGTGCCTGTGCCGGACAGCCGCGCGCCAGTGCCGCTGGGTAGCCTTGGGGCGCAGGCGACGGCAAAACATGGCTGCAAACCCATGCTTTAGAAGGCCACAGTGAGCCATTTTCTTGCGATTTCCCTCGCTGCGTGCAATCCATGCCAAGCCTACACTTGCTTCCTTGTTCCTGTTTTTTTTTTTGCCTTGGACTCAGGCGGCCTATGTCGCCCAGCAGCGCTTCGGCCAGACTCTGGCGGTCGGCTCCGCGCCGATTTCGCCTCTGCCGCGGTCGCCGGTGTTTCACAAGCTGATGCTGCGGCGCCAGAGCCGATCCCCGGCGAGCTCCCCTTCGAAGTCCGCGACGTCGCCCTCCAAATCTCCAGCCCTGTGGCCTAACGAGCGGCCTGTGGCGCAGCCCCAGTCGCCCGTGTACCGCCAGCTGCAGCATCAGCGCCAGCGGAGGGCCTCCCCGAAACCGCCCTTGGCCTCGCCGTCGCCCTCCGCGTCGCCGGCGTCGCCTTGCTTCGTGTGGCCCTCTGAGCCAAACGAGCCGAAGCCACTCCCCAAGTCAACACTGAGACCCGCTACAGTCGCTGTGACACAGCCAAAGCCCATCACACCAATCAAGCCAGCCTCACCGAGGAAGGCCAAGCCTCCAGCACCACCCCCGCCTCCCAGACAGGCCCGGGACTGTGTGTCCTTTGGTGCCAAGGACGACTGGACTTGGCTGCAGTCTGTGAGGGCCTGGGACCGAGAGGCCGAGAAGGGCAACGGGGTCAAACAAGCTTTTTCCTCAGCGTACCTCTGTCTTTTTTTGGTCTGGTTTGAATAGAAGCCGAAAAGGAGAATCACTGAGAACCACCGAGAACCACCATTTGAGGTTTCCCCGTGTTGTGCATACCCAAATGTGTTGGGTCCAATTCTTTCGAGTGGCTTTTCTCGAAACGTGCCTTGGAAACCCTGATGCATGCAAGTAGAGTGGATCTCCATTGAGGGCGGAGACCTCATCGCCACAAGCAAACATATGTTACACCGGCCTGGCTCGCCGGCCCAATAGGCATAATGGATGCACGACTTTGCATTGGCCAGCATTTTGTACAATTGCACCACTTTTGGATATGTTCCCCATGAACATCCCTTTCACACAAAGTGAGGTTTGGTCAAACATGCCAGAGGAACTTCAAATGTTCCCAGAAACAAAGCATATGTTGGATTCATTGCTCGCCAGGCGGAAGCACAAGGCGGATGGGCGGATGGGCGGAGGGATGCGATGCTGAAGTTTTGGGTTGGGTCGATTTCAAAATGGGGAGCCCCTTAGACAAGCAACAGGAGTTCAACTTCCTCGAGGGGCCCGAATTTGGAGAAACACGCGGTTGTCACATGTTTTCACATGTGTAGGCAACCAACAAAGTCTTCTATTCGGCGCCCAAAGAAAGCCAACGAACGGGATGACTGTTTACCATTGACTTTTGCAGTCATGCCCTGAGGCTGCGACAAGCTGGTAACAACATCTCTTGCGGAAAGCTCTGCATCGATTTCAGTGGCAACCATCAGCCCGCCAAAGATTACACTAACCTCGTCCGCTTGGAGTTCCTCAATCAGTGAAGACCATGTTAGCATGGCTGGGAGGGCAAGCAAAAGCGAGCAACCTTGTCTGGGCAAGGGTAGCGTTCGCTCATCGAGCTTGGGCTGGCAGCCCGCCAGAGAAGAGGCTGGCATGTCGGGGGCAGCAAGCGAAAGCAGAGATCTCCCCCTGGGCACTTCTGGCGGTGGTGGGGCTCGCTCATCGAGCTTGGGCGGGCATCCCAGAGAAGAGGCTGGCATGTCAGGGGCAGCAAGCAAAAGCAGAGATCTCCCCCTGGGCACTTCTGGCGGTGGTGGGGCTCGCTCATCGAGCTTGGGCGGGCATCCCAGAGAAGAGGCTGGCATGTCAGGGGCCGCAAGCGAAAGCAGAGATCTCCCCTTGGGCACTTCTGGCGGTGGTGGGGCTCGCTCATCGAGCTTGGGCGGGCATCCCAGAGAAGAGGCTGGCATGTCAGGGGCAGCAAGCGAAAGCAGAGATCTCCCCCTGGGCACTTCTGGCGGTGGTGGGGATCGCTCATCGAGCTTGGGCTGGCAGCCCACAGAAGAGGCTGGCATGTCAGGGGCAGCAAGCGAAAGCAGAGATCTCCCCCTGGGCACTTCTGGCGATGGTGGGGCTCGCTCATCGAGCTTGGGCTGGCATCCTAGAGAAGAGGCAGGCATGTCAGGGGCAGCAAGCGAAAGCAGAGATCTTTTTCTGGGCACATCTGGCGGTGGTGGGGCTCGCTCATCGACTTTGGGCGGGCATCCCAGAGAAGAGGCTGGCATGTCAGGGGCCGCAAGCGAAAGCAGAGATCTCCCCCTGGGCACTTCTGGCGGTGGTGGGGCTCGCTCATCGAGCTTGGGCGGGCATCCCAGAAAAGAGGCTGGCATGTCAGGGGCAGCAAGCGAAAGCAGAGATCTCCCCCTGGGCACTTCTGGCGGTGGTGGGGCTCGCTCATCGAGCTTGGGCTGGCATCCCAGAGAAGAGGCTGGCATGTCAGGGGCAGTAAGCGAAAGCAGAGATCTGCCCCTGTGCACTTCTGGCGGTGGTGGGGCTCGCTCATCGAGCTTGGGCGGGCAGCCCACAGAAGAGGCTGGCATGTCAGGGGCAGTAAGCGAAAGCAGAGATCTCCCCCTGGGCACTTCTGGCGGTGGTGGGGCTCGCTCATCGAGCGTGGTTGGCATGTTAGGGGCAGCAAGAGAAAGCAGAGATCTCCCCCTCAGCGCTTCTGGCGGTGGTGGGGCTCGCTCATCGAGCTTGGGCTGGCATCCCAGAGAAGAGGCTGGCAGATTGGGCACAGCAAGCGAAAGCGGAGATCTCCCCCTGGGCGCTTCTGGCGGTGGTGGGACTCGCTCATCGAGCTTGGGCTGGCATCCCAGAGAAGAGGCTGGCCTGTCAGGGGTAGTAAGCGTAAGCAGAGATCTCTCCCTGGGCGCTTCTGGCGGTGGGGCTCGCTCATCGAGCTTGGGCGGACATCCCAGAGAAGAGGCTGTCATGTCAGGGGCAGGAAGCGAAAGCAGAGGTCTCCCCCTGGGCACTTCTGGCAGTGGTGGGGCTTGCGGGCAGCCCACAGAAGAGGCTGAAAGCAGAGATCTCTCCCTGGGCGCTTCTGGCGGTGGGGCTCGCTCATCGAGCTTGGGCTGGCAGACCACAGAAGAGGCTGGCATGTCAGGGGCAGCAAGCGAAAGCAGAGATCTCTCCCTGGGCGCTTCTGGCGGTGGTGGGGCTCGCTCATCGAGCTTGGGCGGGCAGCCCACAGAAGAGGCTGGCATGTCAGGGGCAGCAAGCGAAAGCAGAGATCTCCCCCTGCGCGCTTCCGGCGGTGGTGGATCGAGCTTGGGCTGGCATCCCAGAGAAGAGGCTGGCATTTCAGGGGCCGCAAGCGAAAGCAGAGATCTCCCCCTGAGCACTTCTGGCGGTGGTGGGGCTCGCTCATCGAGCTTGGGCGGGCAGCCCAGAGAAGAGGCTGGCATGTCAGGGGCAGCAAGCGAAAGCAGAGATCTCCCCCTGGGCACTTCTGGCGGTGGTGGGGCTCGCTCATCGAGCTTGGGCTGGCAGCCCACAGAAGAGGCTGGCATGTCAGGGGCAGCAAGCGAAAGCAGAGATCTCCCCCTGGGCGCTTCTGGTGGTGGTGGGGCTCGCTCATCGAGCTTTGGCTGGCATCCCACAGAAGAGGCTGGCATGTCAGGGGCAGCAAGCGAAAGCAGAGATCTCCCCCTGGGAACTTCTGGCGGTGGTGGGGCTCGCTCATCTAGCTTGGGCGGGCAGCCCACAGAAGAGGCTGTTATGTTAGGGGCAGCAAGCGAAAGCAGAGATCTCCTTTTTGGCGCTTCTGGCTGTGGTGGGGCTCGCTCATCGAGCTTGGGCGGGCATCCCAGAGATCCGGCTGGCTTGTCAGGGGCAGCAAGCGAAAGCAGAGATCTCCCCCTGGGCAATTCTGGCAGTGGTGGGGCTCGCTCATCGAGCTTGGGCAGGCAGCCCACAGAAGAGGCTGGCTTGTTAGGGGCAGCAAGCGAAAGCAGAGATCTCCCCCTGAGCACTTTTGGCGGTGGTGGGGCTCGCTCATCTAGCTTGGGCGGGCAGCCCACAGAAGAGGCTGTCATGTCAGGGGCAGCAAGCGAAAGCAGAGATCTCCCCCTGGGCACTTCTGGCGGTGGTGGGGCTCGCTCATCGAGCTTGGGCGGGCAGCCCACAGAAGAGGCTGGCATGTCAGGGGCAGCAAGTGAAAGCAGAGATCTCCCCCTGAGCACTTTTGGCGGTGGTGGGGCTCTCTCATCGAGCTTGGGCGGGCAGCCCACAGAAGAGGCTGGCATGTCAGGGGCAGCAAGCGAAAGCAGAGATCTGCCCCTGGGCGCTTCTGGCGGTGGTGGGGCTCGCTCATCGAGCTTGGGCGGGCGGCCCACAGAAGAGGCTGGCATGTCAGGGGCAGCAAGCGAAAGCAGAGATCTCCCCCTGAGCACTTTTGGCAGTGGTGGGGCTCGCTCATCTAGCTTGGGCGGGCAGCCCACAGAAGAGGCTGGCACGTCAGGGGCAGCAAGCGAAAGCAGAGATCTCCCCCTGGGCGCTTCTGGCGGTGGTGGGGCTCGCTCATCGAGCTTGGGCGGGCGGCCCACAGAAAAGGCTGGCATGTCAGGGGCAGCAAGCGAACGCAGAGATCTTTTTCTGGGCGCTTCTGGCGGTGGTGGGGCTCGCTCATCGAGCTTGGGCGGGCATCCCAGAGAAGAGGCTGGCATGTCAGGGGCAGTAAGCGAAAGCAGAGATCTCCCCCTGAACGCTTCTGGCGGTGGTGGGGCTCGCTCATCGAGCTTGGGCGGGCAGCCCACATCAGAGGCTGGCATGTCAGGGGCAGCAAGCGAAAGCAGAGATCTCCCCCTGGGCGCTTCTGGCGGTGGTGGGGCTCGCTCATCGAGCTTGGGCGGGCGGCCCACAGAAAAGGCTGGCATGTCAGGGGCAGCAAGCGAACGCAGAGATCTTTTTCTGGGCGCTTCTGGCGGTGGTGGGGCTCGCTCATCGAGCTTGGGCGGGCAGCCCACAGAAGAGGCTGGCATGTCAGGGGCAGCAAGCGAAAGCAGAGATCTCCACCTGGGCACTTCTGGCGGTGGTGGGGCTCGCTCATCGAGCTTGGGCGGGCATCCCAGAGAAGAGGCTGGCATGTCAGGGGCAGTAAGCGAAAGCAGAGATCTCCCCCTGGGCAATTCTGGCAGTGGTGGGGCTCGCTCATCGAGCTTGGGCGGGCAGCCCACAGAAGAGGCTGGCATGTCAGGGGCAGCAAGCGAAAGCAGAGATCTTTTTCTGGGCGCTTCTGGCGGTGGTGGGGCTCGCTCATCGAGCTTGGGCGGGCAGCCCACAGAAGAGGCTGTCATGTCAGGGGCAGCAAGCGAAAGCAGAGATCTCCCCCTGGGCACGTCTGGCGGTGGTGGGGCTCGCTCATCGAGCTTGGGCGGGCATTCCAGAGAAGAGGCTGGCATGTCAGGGGCAGCAAGCGAAAGCAGACACCTTGTGCTGGGGGCTACTGATCTCCCCCTGGGCACTTCTGGCGGTGGTGGGGCTCGCTCATCGAGCTTGGGCTGGCAGCCAGCGGAAGAGGCTGGCATGTCAGGGGCAGCAAGCGAAAGTAGAGATGTCCCCATGGGCGCAGCTGGCGGTGGTGGGGCTCGCTCATCGAGCTTGGGCTGGCAGACGGCAGAAGAGGCTGGCATGTCAGGGGCAGCAAACGAAAGCAGAGATCTCCCCCTGGGCACTTCTGGCGTTGGTGGGGCTCGCTCATCTAGCTTGGGCGGGCAGCCCACAGAAGAGGCTACCATGTCAGGGGCAGCAAGCGAAAGCAGACACCTTTTGCTGGGCCCAGCTGGCGGTGGTGGGGCTTGCTCATCGAGGCTGGGCTGGCAGACGGCAGAAGAGGCTGGCATGT